CTCTCTGTCCTTCTCTCCCCTCTCTCCTCTCCCCTCTCTGTCCTTCTCTCTCCTCTGGACAGGGGATAGGGCCGGGCCCACAGGACTGAGAGCCCGACCCCTGCGGGGATCCTGCAGAGAGATCCCAGTGTCCCGGTCGGCTGGGGATCGGTCCGGTGGGAGAGGTGACTCCGAGTCCCCGCGGGAGCGACTGGCGCCGGGAAGAGAGGGTGAGATTCTGGACCAGCGGCTCTGACCGGGAGAGGGGTTCTGATGGGCTTGTGGTTGTGAGAGGGACAGGGGTTCTGATGGGCTCGTGGTTGTGAGAGGGACAGGGGTTTTGATGGGTTCAATGGCTGACGGCGTTGATGGTTCTGTGAGTGGGACTGGGTTGATGGTTCTGAAGGGCTCATGGCTCTCTGCTGGCCCCAGTGCAGGTGGAAGAGAGCCCCTCTGAGCTCTGTTCTCAGGGGCAGAGACTTTCCGGAGTTCACGCGGCAAGTACACAGTTAGAATCCTCCAATTTAATTATTGAGCATTAATCCACATCTCACCTGGGCTGGGCACTGTGCTCTGATAAGGGCTCGATGATGTCACCGCCCACATCACGGACCCTGTTAGTGCAGGAATGAATCTGAAAGCACACAAAATGGCTGTCATGTCACCCCGCTGACACGGCAACGTGCACAGCACCGTCTGGGACGCAGACTTGTGCTCGTATCCGGTAAGAGAAATACACTGTGTTAATCATTAGAACAATTTCAGGGAGTGTTCAAGGCAGAAAGGTATGTTCCCACAATGCACGGCGTCACATATCACTTCCAGACCTGGAGGACTACAGCAAACTGTGTGGCAGTGCATCATGGGAGCTGTAGTCACTCGAGCGTCTATTCAGTGATTCTACAGACCTGGTGATGATGAGGATGGGGTGTTTATGTGAAGATACAGAGGAGGTGGGCTGAGTGTCTCTACAGTTACTCTACAGATCTGAGGATGAGGATGGTGTGTTAATGTGAAGATACAGAGGAGCTGGACTGAGTGTCTCTACAGTTACTCTACAGATCTGAGGATGAGGATGGTGTGTTAATGTGAAGATACAGAGGAGCTGGACTTAGTGTCTCTACAGTTACTCTACAGATCTGAGGATGAGGATGGAGTGTTAATGTGAAGATACAGAGGAGCTGGGCTGAGTGTCTCTACAGTTACTCTACAGATCTGAGGATGAGGATGAGCTCTGACGAGGGTCAGTCCTGCTCTCTTTGACTCTAATCTGCAGTGTGATGCAGCCAGAGAGAGAGAACAGCTCTCCTGGGCGCAGAACTGAGCTTTTATGGTTTTATGGTTCTGTTTTCGTATGGGTGGGAGGCTGGGTAAGTCAAAGTCTGAAAGATACAGAGAGAGACAGACAGGAAGAGAGAAAGACAGACAGTGAGAGAGACAGAGACAGGGAGAGAGACAGGAAGGGACAGAGAGGGAAAGAGACAGAGAGAGACAGTGGGGGGCGGACAGAAAGACTGGGGGCAAGTTTTTGCTCTGTGGGCTCCCTGCTCTGGCTATATTTAGAAGTACCATAAAGTTGCTCTTTTATCTAGATAGGTTTGCTCTTTGGCCAGTGGGTGGGAGGAGCAGAGCGTCTATGGTGGGGCTGTAAATTAGAGCTCATGGCCAGGAGATAGTGATCACATGACACACTGAGACTCAGTGGCATGAAGAATCTGAGGGCCAAACC